AGAGGACGACTATTCAAAACTCTAATTCAAAAACAAATAGCACCACTAAAACGAATAGAAAAACAACTTATGAATTTCGACCATCTCTATATGGGGTACAAATATCTAACAATCTTCGACAAAAATGACAGAGCCAAAGTAGCAACAGTATTAGAAAAATACCCTAAAGTAATCGACCTATCAAAATTACCAGATAATATCTTAGAAAAACTTAAAAAACAATATTATTACTACAATCTAAAATACGACAATAACGGACAAGCGTACCAAATTAAAATACGACAAACAAATGAAATTCAAGTCACACTTGTAACAATCAGATTCTTAATGCTTGAATACAAAGATCTCACCCTTATTTAGAAACAACCGGTAATACAATTCCGGCCACCTAATCCTTTACCATAGCCCATGCAAGGTTGTATAATATTCTACTTTTGTGTAACTTTTGACGGTCACCCCTGCTGGCAAACGTAACAATGTGTAATACTAGTAAGTTAGTGATGTCCAAAAAATTTTGCTTTTTCGTGTAACCCGAGCTTTTTGCACTAGGCAATAATTCTGGTCATCTATATGATACGTAGCAAAATTCCAATCTGAGCAATGGTTTATCGTTACGTATTAGTAAAATTTTTTTGGAAATCACTACGTAACCTACTAGTATAATACATACATAAAATTCCAAATGGTTATTATACATACTAAATGTGTACAGTACATAAAAAGATCTATTGTGCAATTACTGAATTAAGTTGATTGAAAATTCGAAAATTCCGTGTTACAGGTTAAAATTCTGTTGCATTGTGGTCATCAAGCATGTGTCCAGCCATCGATTCTAAAAAAAAAAAAACTTTAGATTCGCATATCCGTGAAATTGAATTAAAATGTAAATAACGATAGGAAAGAAATAAGAATAAATAACATAGCCAAAGTAAATAGGTTAAATAGAAGTAACATAGCTATTGCTTATGACAACGCATATTGTTATATACCGTAACGAAAACAAAATTTCTAGTGATTATTCTTTGACTCTTCGGTACGTTAATGCTAAATATCTGTCTCTAACATAAACAATTCCTTTTTGCAATTTTTTTTTTTTTTTTTTAATATTCCGTGCATTCGAATGTTTAACTGTGGCATGCTGTAACCAAAATAAAAAACCAGTTCTCGGCTATAACAAATGACTCGTATCATTGGACATAATAACATTGACGCTATTGTTGGTGGCTAGTGGTTACCGTTACCTAGCTTTTTTTTATGGCAACTTAGGTAAAGGTAATGCATCTAATAATGGGTTGGACTCACCCGAATGTAGCCACAAACAAAACACTATAACATCAATGATGTATAAAGATACCCGAGGTTACAAAAGTAAGTCCATTTATGGGAACCAATATCAATGAGATTAATTTTGACTATTTAATAAATTGTTCTTACTTCGATAAAAATATATATAAAGACACGAAATTCCGCTCGCTCATTTTCAACTCAACACTAAACATCTAGAAAAAAATATTAATAAGAAAAATTATTTAATAAATTTAAAAATATAATTTCTTCAATACTTAAATTTCTCAGTAATCAATCCAATCAATCTTCAATTCATAATCTTTATTATCAAAAAAAATGCATACTTTATCTCAGTTATTTGTTTATCCACTCACTGGTTCAAATGTTGTTCCAGCAAAAAAAATTACAAAAATCCCTTATATTCCTCCTGAAATTATTCGTATTATTCTTGGTTTCTTAAGAAATGATAGAAAAACTCTCGCTGCTTGTGCTTTAGTTAATCATACTTTTAACCTTCACGCTACTCCTATCTTATATCAT